AAAAAAAAAAAAAAACTGGAGGGTTTTATATTTTTGGCCTGAGAGGAAACAAATGGACTGAGGTGTTTTTCCCCACACTGGACTTGTGTCCTCGACACGATGCTGCACGCATCAAATCGGACCCTCATTTAAAATAAATAAATAAACAAATAAATAAAAACACTACTTTTTATCATAACTTCGGTTCTACTTAAAGTTCAAAGTCTCTACTTTTGACTCAGCAGTCTCAGAGAGGGTGCATCTTTCCAGGTAGTTTTTTTTTCATCCTAAACTTTATTCAGGTCAGCCAGCATTGACAACACTCTGAGTTACATAAACAGCTTCGTGACATGGCCAGGGAAATCGTGCAACACAACGAATCGATAACGAAATGCGTTAATGCTTGTAATTTTCAATTTTATTGATTTGTTGTTGCAGCCCTATGATGGTACTTGATTTTAAATCTAAATATAATTAAATAAATTATACATCAGGACCCTTTGTATAAAAWCTCTGAATGAACTGCAGTAGTGAGTTCTGCTGAACACGTAACGCACTAAAGAAAAAATGAACCATTATCAAGTTTCAGAGGTCATTTCTGAGCATCGGTGAAACTTGCCAACTGATTTATGGATTTAAACGTTTCGTGATGGGACGGTGCGCTGCACCACCTCTAAGAATAGAAGCAGCATGGATCCAGCTGGAGTTCCTTTATGAAGGAGGTCCCTAAAAGGACATCCTCGCCCAGCCATTGGCCACCATCTCCACACTCTAACCCCTCCTACATTTGATTTTTGCCATCGGACCTGCAGGTTATTCCTGGCCCTGATGACATGATCCTGGTTTTCCTGCTCAGGGACCCACATTCACTCAGACCTGATTTACTAAAAATAGAGGAAGTTGCTCGTCTGGTGACAACCTTTTTTAAAGAGGGTACAAAGAACCTCTGAGAATTAACAATCTAAGAGGACACAAATGAAAGATTTCCTGCAGACAGCTGTAGGGTCACCAAAGATACGGTTTTGGGAAGGGGACATTGAGTTGGATTCATCTGGACTAAAGCTTCTCTGCAAGCAATGTTTGAAGAAAAACAAATCCTTGTTTCCGTTTTATCAGTTTTTTTTAGCTCAAAGATAAAACTAATTCTTATTTGCAACTGTTTCATCTGCAGAAAATATTAAATATGTGTCATATATAACTAATTGTTGCTAATGATTTTAGTTATGATTAAACTGCGTAAAAAACTTTTGTTTTGTAAAAAAGTACATTTAAAATCTGGCATTTTTCTAATCTTAGATGAAATATAAACTATTTACTATTACTATTTAATAAAGTGTTTTGTTCTCAACTTTAAAGTTGTGCAGCAGACTTGTGCACACTAAMCACGAGCTGTTGGCCTTTTGTTTCCCTGTCACAGCGTTATTGTTGTCACTGCAGAGACAATCATTTGTCCTTGGTGTTTTGGTTTAAACCGTCAGGAATCTGCACAGCCAGGGGCCCCTCCTTGCCTCGACGGTACTCCTCGCAGGTGGTGGGCCCAAGTCATGGTGGCATCCTGTGTCTCATTCAAGTTTGGCCCAGYTGARCCCCAGGAGCCTAGACTTGACCACCAGATGCTTGCCTAACCACCCCCAAGGCCTGGCTCCAGTGGGACGGCTGGTTTCCTGATGCAACTTTATCCATCAAGTAGGGTTGGGYATAATCGTATCGTGTGCAATTAATAGTCAGAAAAACATTAATCGATTATTTTTTGGCACTCGATGATTAATACGATTAATGTCACCAGGCAGAGTTCGCTCGCTGCTCTTTTCTGTTTCAAATATGAAGAACATTAAAAAAAGTTCAGTAATTTATTTATCTACCAACACAATTTAAATTTGATGTAAAGCCTGAAGTCTGTAATTTTGACACAATTTGGAACAAATTTTTATGAAGAGACAATCTTTTCCACTAAATTGGTCATGTGACCAGGACATAAAGGTGTCAGGGACTACAGGGGATTAATCGTCAAATTAATCGTTATCGGCTAAATACCCCAATTAATCGTGATTAATTTTTTGCCAATATTGCCCAACCTTACAATCAACATTTTCTTTCTTGGTCTGAGCCAGGGATTATGATGCCCTCTATWGCCTGGCGATGCCTCAGGATGCCCAGAGTCATTTTAATTTATTTAACGCTATGTAAATTTTGTAAACTTCCATAAACAACATAAGCAGAAGAGGGACTGATGGCAATTATTTTGTGAAGCCAGTGGAACAATAAAAGAAACTGAACTGGATCGATGAGGAAGATAGGGCAGTGTTTCCCCTAAGATTTGTTTTAACTGTGGTGGTGTGGTGACCTTTCACGGGGGGGCCAAATGGAAATTTACATTTAATAAGTTTATTGTTATGTACACAAAGTTTACTATATGTGTGTTACCCTGTAACGTTGTGCTCGTGAACACACAGTGTTACAGGGTAAATGCTGTGAGGTGCTTTTAGAAATATAATATACTATATATAAAATACGACATAATCCTCAGTGGAAAATAGTCCAGGAAACACTGAGGGCTTTCCCGGGAGGTGTTGACCTGAGCTGAGTGAAGCTGACCCCCCAGAGAGAGAAAAAAGGCAGCGCTGTCAATCAGACGGCACGACCCGCCCTGCTCTGTTCTGATTGGGTAAAACTTTGACTCTGGTTCTCTTTATTGGATGAAAGAACCATCAGTTAGACGGTAGACGTCCCTAGATGGACGGCTTTAACAAGTTTTTTTTCTCCCGTTCATTTTTACGATGTCGAACACCCTCGGAGGAAAACTTTAATCGAGGTCTTTTTTTCTTGGTTGTCCACCAGACAACCAGGAGGTGGGATCTGGTTGTCCAAAACGAAAATAGGTTGTCTCGGAGATGATTGTGTCAACCCATTTTACGTTGATTAAAAAAAAACACCATTCCAAAGGTGTGGCGGCTTTTTATTTAGCCGTGGCGGTGCGCCACGATCAATTACATGTAGGGATGTCGCAGCATCAGTAGCTCTGTAAATACTGTAAGCTCCCTAAGTGGGGGAGGGGCCAAACCACATTTATTTTATGAAGCCAGAAGACCACGAAGAATAAATTGCACCGGCTTGGATAGAAGAGGTAGGTAGCAATGTCACAGCAGCTCTTTTCACAAATTGGTCTGGTCATTGCGTTTTCTTCTACGTAAGCTTGCGTAAGGCTTGTAGGCAAGGGGGGCATAAAGCCTGGTCTGACCCCTTCTCTACGACCCTACCAGGGGTTGGTGTCCCACATAACACAGCCTCCAGGATCACAGTGGTGCTTAGGCCTCTCACAATAAACTTTAAATCAATTAACCGTCTGATAAATTAAACTGAGGAAGATAAATTAAATTGAAGACAATTTTCATTTGCTTGCTTGTTTGTTTTCTTCGTGTCTCCCACTTTTCTACTTCTTAGAGTAGAGAATAGTGAACTCTGGTGTCAGGCACATGGTTTCCTAACCTCTGCAGCATGAAAGCCTGTGAACAGGCCAGTTTTGACGCCTTGGGATTGCCAACAGTTGCGTTTTTCTTTTGACACTATGTAAATGTTAATATAAACTTCAGTAAAGAGGGAGGTTATATCATKATATTAGTTTAAACTGGTCTCCAACAATATTACTGTTTATCGCAATAATTTGAGACAATTTACTGTCCAGTAAAATYTGTTATCATGATAGGCCTAGTCAACACATCCACCACGTTAAAGACTGTGATTCTGTCTTCTATCAAAGCAGGAAGCACATGTGTGAAAAACTTTTATAGGACTGGGCAGTAAAATCGATTTTTAAGACATCCAACATGGTGGACATGAACAATACTTAAAGGGATCCATTTAACTGTAAAATAAAGACTGTAAAAATACTGTAGGCTGTTTAGTTTTTGCCGATGCTATCACCATATGTATGTATTAGCTCAGAGCTACACATTCTCTCATCACTGAGGTCCTCCATCCACATGACAGAGAGGGGAACACAAAAATGACTCAGCTGTAACTGAAAATATGGAGGGACTACAACAGTTTAGCTTGTTTGTTGTGCTAGCACC